TTTTTATGTATAACATTTGCATAAGTTTGTTTCCTATAATTCAGATTATTACTAACAGTATATCGGGATTTTTTGCTTAAAACTGTTTAAGCATGGTCCCTTTTCAAAAGTCTTTCAATTGTTACCCTGATTTTGCAAAGTAATCTTTTATATTTTTGTTACGTTTATAATATGCTAAAATAGGCACTTGGGAAAAAAATTCACTGCATTCTTTGTATTTTTGCAGATTGTTCCAATGTTTTCTTATAATTTTAATAAAGTTTTTCACCATTTGGTCATATTTTATAATGAGAGTAAGTGGGTATTTTTCTTGTTCTATTGGTCTTTAATAACGTAGTTTTTCTATACGTTGTATTTTTAAATTTTTTTATAAAACATTTAGCGCCAAATTGAAACTAACGAGTTCTGTCCCCTAGTTGTTTTAAGAATGTAATAGATTCAGATTAAGTATGCTAATTAAATATGTGCGCATAAAAAGTGCGCACTAATCTCAGTGTGTAATTTTAAATTCTCAGTGTGTAACTTCAAATTCTCAGTGTGTGTTTTTCAGTTTATTTCGTCTCAGTATGTCTTTCTGAAATCTCATTGTGTAATTTTCAATTCTCAGTGTGTAATTTTTAATTCTCAGTGTGTAATTTTCAATTCTCAGTGTGTTTGTGTGTTTTTCATTTTTTGCAATTTCAGTGCGTTTTTATGAAATCTCAGTGTGTAATTTTTAATTCTCAGTGTGTGTTTTTAGGTTTTTTAATCTCAGTGTGTTTTTTGTTTAATTCTCAGTGTGTAAATTTTTCGAAAAATGGTTTAAACATAGTTCTGACGAGAACGTCTTGTCATAGTTTAATCAATTTATTGTACATGCTATAATTTAATTAATTTGTTCTTCCTTTGGACTTGGTATGGTGAGTTTTGTTAAGTTGTTGCAAAGTAGAATAATTTGATAATTAGGTCCACAGTCAGACAATAACTAAAGTGAGTGATATAATACTCATAAAATGTGTGAAAAGGTTGTGATGTTTGGGTTTATTGCTCATGCACTGAAGTAACTGCTAAGTGTTGTGTGTTTGAATAGCTTTATTTGGAAAAAAAGTATTTGAAGATTTGAAGATGTATGCAATATGGTCGATATCAAGAATATTTTGGTGCAGTGTAAACATGATTTTATAATGAGTATCAATTAATATAGTTGAAACATACAATTAGAAAGCAAGTGTATTTTGGCATAGTCTGATACAGTGGGGTGTAGATGGGTGATATAGGCCCAAGTCCCTTGTTATTTTTAATACAAAACATGTATGTATCTCACTTTTCTTGGAATGTTAAAAAACACTCTAAGGTACCAACACTAGATTTTGAATTCTCCATTACTGATATAATTATTCATAATAAAATTTTAGTACACCTTATCATACACCATATTCATAATTCATATCTCAACATCATTGATCACAAATTATTACCTCACATCAAAGAATCATTAATTTAAAGCTTACTTAAACAATAATCCATTGAACAAAATACATTTTGCTTTTAGAAAATATGCATGTTCACAGAAATGTAGTTGTCTGTTATTAAAATCATTCATGAAAGAAGCCACAAATTTGACTGTTTGCATAAGAATTAGCACCTGTGTGACGAATCAAAGAACTTGCTGTGGTTTTTAAATTTTGAGAAATTTGAACGACCAATAGACATCTTTCTCTGAAGATAGTCTTCGTAACAGTTTCATATGGCACCACCACCATACTAAAACAACACAATGATGTACCGGTATTACAGTTTAGTCTGTGGGGTGCCATATAGAACTCTTTCCATAGCAAATGCTAAACCTTATAATTATATAATCTTATATATGGTACAAAATGGTATACATTATAATCTCCCATATGGTATACATTATTATCTCCCATAAGGTATACATTATAATCTTCCATATGGTACGAAATGGTCATGGTACAAAATAACTATGATTCAATTGAATTTTCAAAACAATCACTATCATTTGCAAGTATTTATTCCCCATTCTTCTCAATATTCAAATTCATTTCATATCAGTTAAGAATGAGCTTTGCTTATTGGATAAAAATGAACCACATGACTTTTTCTATTCTTCAGTCAAAAATTCTATCAGTCTTGAACAGAACTGTAAGAATTTTTGTACACCATATCCGGATTTCGACAATTAATGTCTCTTCAGTGATGTTAGGAATCGAAACGGTATTTGGAAGGCCATATAATTTACCTCAATTTAGGATAGACTCTTTAATTTTGATGAGTCAAAATAGGATGAACGGATCATATAAACCCGAAGGCAAATATAATACAAGCCCAAACGAAAAAGTACAAACAAGTCTAAATTGAAAACAACGTTCAAACCTATGATTGCGTTGGATAAAAACCGCAATTTTTATACGTGTGCATGCAAAACAAATTTCTTGTTAGAGGGGTCTAAATACAGCACAAACAACATTTTCCAAAAGATCAAAAAAGTGAAAAAGTATATTTTAACAAAAAGCATTTGACTAACAGGTCGAACAGCAAATGTTCTTAACACCTGCTGACTGCCATTGGCGATTGCCAAATAAACGGATCACCCGGTGTAATAAATGGATCTTAATTATACATTTAATACCAAACAGAAAACAATAAACTTGCGGAAAAGATGGTATACCGCAAACAAAAGGTGCAAAGAATTTGTGTACACCATATCCGGATTTCGACAATTAATGTCTCTTCAGTGATGTTAGGAATCGAAACGGTATTTGGAAGGCCATATAATTTACTTCAATTTAGGATAGACTCTTTAATTTTGATGAGTCAAAATAGGATGAACGGATCATATAAACCCGAAGGCAAATATAATACAAGCCCAAACGAAAAAGTATAAACAAGTCTAAATTGAAAACAACGTTCAAACCTATGATTGCGTTGGATAAAAACCCCAATTTTTATACGTGTGCATGCAAAACAAATTTCTTGTTAGAGGGGTCTAAATACAGCACAAACAACATTTTCCAAAAGATCAAAAAAGTGAAAAAGTATATTTTAACAAAAAGCATTTGACTAACAGTTCGAACAACAAATGTTCTTAAACCCTGCTGACTGCCATTGGCGATTGCCAAATAAACGGACCACCCGGTGTAATAAATGGATCTTAATTATACATTTAATACCAAACAGAAAACAATAAACTTGCGGAAAAGATGGTATACCGCAAACAAAAGGTGCAAAGAATTTGTGTACACCATATCCGGATTTCGACAATTAATGTCTCTTCAGTGATGTTAGGAATCGAAACGGTATTTGGAAGGCCATATAATTTACTTCAATTTAGGATAGACTCTTTAATTTTGATGAGTCAAAATAGGATGAACGGATCATATAAACCCGAAGGCAAATATAATACAAGCCCAAACGAAAAAGTATAAACAAGTCTAAATTGAAAACAACGTTCAAACCTATGATTGCGTTGGATAAAAACCCCAATTTTTATACGTGTGCATGCAAAACAAATTTCTTGTTAGAGGGGTCTAAATACAGCACAAACAACACAAAAGATCAAAAAAGTGAAAAAGTATATTTTAACAAAAAGCATTTGACTAACAGGTCGAACAACAAATGTTCTTAAACCCTGCTGACTGCCATTGGCGATTGCCAAATAAACGGATCACCCGGTGTAATAAATGGATCTTTATTATACATTTAATACCAAACAGAAAACAATAAACTTGCGGAAAAGATGGTATACCGCAAACAAAAGGTGCAAAGAATTTTTGTACACCATATCCGGATTTCGACAATTAATGTCTCTTCAGTGATGTTAGGAATCGAAACGGTATTTGGAAGGACATATAATTTACCTCAATTTAGGATAGACTCTTTAATTTTGATGAGTCAAAATAGGATGAACGGATCATATAAACCCGAAGGCAAATATAATACAAGCCCAAACGAAAAAGTATAAACAAGTCTAAATTGAAAACAACGTTCAAACCTATGATTGCGTTGGATAAAAACCCCAATTTTTATACGTGTGCATGCAAAACAAATTTCTTGTTAGAGGGGTCTAAATACAGCACAAACAACACAAAAGATCAAAAAAGTGAAAAAGTATATTTTAACAAAAAGCATTTGACTAACAGGTCGAAGAACAAATGATCTTAAACCCTGCTGCCTGCCATTGGCGATTGCCAAATGAACGGATCACCCGGTGTAATAAATGGATCTTAATTATACATTTAATACCAAACAGAAAACAATAAACTTGCGGAAAAGATGGTATACCGCAAACAAAAGGTGCAAAGAATTTTTGTACACCATATCCGGATTTCGACAATTAATGTCTCTTCAGTGATGTTAGGAATCGAAACGGTATTTGGAAGGCCATATAATTTACTTCAATTTAGGATAGACTCTTTAATTTTGATGAGTCAAAATAGGATGAACGGATCATATAAACCCGAAGGCAAATATAATACAAGCCCAAACGAAAAAGTATAAACAAGTCTAAATTGAAAACAACGTTCAAACCTATGATTGCGTTGGATAAAAACCCCAATTATTATACGTGTGCATGCAAAACAAATTTCTAGTTAGAGGGGTCTAAATACAGCACAAACAACATTTTCCAAAAGATCAAAAAAGTGAAAAAGTATATTTTAACAAAAAGCATTTGACTAACAGGTCGAACAACAAATGTTCTTAAACCCTGCTGACTGCCATTGGCGATTGCCAAATAAACGGTCCACACGGTGTAATAAATGGATCTTAATTATACATTTAATACCAAACAGAAAACAATAAACTTGCGGAAAAGATGGTATACCGCAAACAAAAGGTGCAAAGTATTTTTGTACAATATATCCGGATTTCGACAATTAATATATTAATATATAATTGCTATTAATATATATATATATATAGGTTAATTATAATATATAAAGTAAATACATAAATAAAACTATTGGTAACTATTATTTATGATTTACACAACAACACAAATATGATATTTATATTTATTGAAAATCAATGCAGTGATGATAATAACATTGTAAGCAAAACGATATAAAAAACTAAATGAACAAATGATACTTGAGGACAGTTAAAAATGAATACTTTTATAAGTCAATAAAACTACACATTATCACTTTTCTAACATGCAAGTGTCACAATATTTCAGAAATAAACGGAACAACATTAAGATAAACACTTCTAAAAATATATCATGAACAATATATACTACAAAAAATGTCATGCCGGTTTTTATAATGACAATTATCTTATTACAAATCTGTCAACCACTTATGGGGCAGTACCGAAAACTGGAATGATTGGTGACGGTGTAAGCTGGCAAGGATTCTGAAAACAAACATTGTAAAATTATTCTTTGACTTCTTTCACCAATAGTTATAATAATATAGCATTTTTCCTCAAAAAGTTGTATTTCGTTCTTTCTATTTCATTATTACCTGATTTTGTAAACAGTCATCAGTATTTAAAATTTATTTCTATGAAACATTTTGGTGTGTTCCAATGTAAGCTTCGAAAGTAATACTGGCAATATCTAATGTTTTTGTTGTCTAATCATTTATTAAATTTGAGTTGATGGCAAATCTTCCGTAATCTTTGTTGCGTTCATAACTTGTTGAGTACCGGGGATATGTAGTAATCTTGACAGAATAGACATATGTTTATCAGTACATACTTTTTGCTGATCTGTAGATGCTTTATCGGTATTAACTTGTTACTGTTTTTTTTTTAAATTTGCCAGTTTTATTCTTATATGATTATATTTCTTGTTATATATCTATAGACATGTTGATTGCTATTCTTTTTTAGAAGAACCAGCTTATAATAATAATCCATGTCGTTGGTCTTCACCTTTTGATTGTTTCTCATTCTTGTCATACCAGGACCCTTTATGGCTTACTATGCAATGATTTTTCTCATTGTTGAAGGCTGTTGTTCACCTGCAATTGTTTACATCCTCGTCTTTTGATTTTGGTTGATATCAGCAATCATATCACATCTCCTTATTTTCACATGTTTAAGGTCAAAATCACTTTAGATTCCTGTATCTTTGTTGTGCCGCATTTACCTTGCCATTACCAAAACGACGGCTGCCACTAGTTGGACAGAAACTGCCTATCTTGCCAAAGAACTTGCGTTTGCCACTTTTGTTTTTTAATCACCCCTTGTATCCCCCTATTTTATTAAGTTAATTTGCATTTTTCTACTTACCAGTGCTTCACAAATGCACCTCCTCGTGGTTGCAGTACATGTTCTATATTTAAATTGCCAACCCGTTGCAGCACTTTCTCTCTCAATTTCAACACAATCTTTCTCAACAGTATTGGTACCTGATTGCAAACATATTTCTATTTTGTTATAATTTTCATTTACACATATGGACAAATTTATTTTAAAAGACAATATCAAATTCATGATGTTATACGTGAATTGTCTAAAATATCAAGTTAAACACAAGTAGTATCAATATTTTTTTTTTTACAGATTAACTTCGTGATCTCTTGTTTATATTGTTTTTCTTGATGTTATTCATTTGACATTAAAATTTCTACTGCCCTATAAGCTTCTTAAAAAATGTCATATGCATTTTTAGTAATAATTGTATATTAAAATATTTCTGACTGTCTTATATCCCTATATACATACCAACAGTTGGTTGAGTGAAACTTGATCCTGAACCAACCAATATAGTGGTACCTTCATTTAGTCCATCAAAACCTCCTGTCCAGTATTCTTCAGTAACTTAAAATATAAATATATCACTTGGTCCAAATAATTAGCAAGGTTAAAGTGGTCAAAGAACTGAAACAAATGCCTAAACTAATACAGCATGACTTTGTATCACTGGACATCATGACCTTGTATCACTGAACATCATGACCTTGTATCACTGAACATCATGACCTTGTTTCACTGACAGGAGAAATATTTCTCCTCTCAAATGATAATATTCAACAAGAGAAATACATGTAGGTCTCTGATTCAACACAAGTCCTTCTAGAACAATTGTATTTGATGGTATATCAGATCCATAACGGAGATAGTATACGAATAAACAAGTAAAAAACAAATCATGTGTTGAGGACCCATTGTTGGCCTTGGTCTGCTTTTTGCTCTTTGTTCGAGTTGTTGTGTCTTTGACACATTCACCGTTGCCATTCTTAATTTTATCCTATCATACCACAGTTTGAGTAGACGAGTATATTAATTCTATTTAGCACAATATTGTGTTTCCTTGTTACAAAGCAGGAAAATGTTAATTCGGATTCTAATATTGAAATGCTCTAACTATATATCACAGTATATCTGTCAAATAAAGCAATGCAAATATTTCTAAACTATGATTCAAGCAATCAAAAGCAAAATGTCAATCATAAATAAGTTATAATGCTGTCGTCAGCAGTGGCGGATCCAGGGTAGAGAGTAGAGGGTGTATCTCCCTTTGATCGCCAAAAACCTTATTTTTCTCACAATTTAATCAAATTTTAGCATAAAATCGTACAAAAATGTTATCCCCATTTTTCTGGAATTACGCCCCCCCCCCTCCCCCCCCCCCCCCCTTTAAAAAAAATCCTGGGGTTCCACCCCTGATTAGGAGATCTTATTCATTAACGTTGAAAGTTACTTATTGGTGGATAAATTGATTATAATTATCAGAAAAGAAAACGAAACGTACTTGATCTATACAACAATTATATACAACAAAGACACGTTATTATTCCTCCTAATTTACCAGGTCTTTTCCTAATTACTGTGTGTCTCGCGGAGATGTAACAAATACTTATTATCATATTAATTTCGTGTAATCAAACACGGGATGGAACCCATGACATCTTGCACAATAAGCGACAATTGTTTTTAATTCAACTAAAACAGATATTTTATTTATTAAAATAGAAATGTTTCAGTTTTAGAATTATTGACGTCATTATTTTATTCCCCTTTTGGTTTCCTTGCTTCCCATAAATTATACGTCTTTAGCTTTAAAAGTGCTGACTGTGAGTGTTCCGGTGGAGGGTAAATCAAGGACGAGCTTCAAAATCAGACAAAAAGGGAAATATGTTCTGCTAAAATTTTAATCACATATATTTGATATAGTCTTACACTAATTTAATATCGGATTATATTCTTACCACCGAGAGTATTTAATACTGCTACGACGCTCGTTACTTCTGCAGCGTCATTAGGTTCCCATAGTGAGGCATTGAGTGACAGACAAGTCAGCTGTAAAACACATCGACAAGTGACATTTTAAGCAGTGCTTTTTTTAATGTAATATATTTTTTAACGAAATACTACAATTTCAAATGGCAGCTAAGTAGCATTTTTTACTTGGTAGGTGCATTTTGTTTTGCCTGAGAATACCATATACTTATCATATATCAAAAATATTTAGATGTATACAGATCATTTGAATATGTAAGCTGATGCCTAAAACCAATACCATTTGATTAGGATTTAATGGCAAGCGACATGGTGGGACTATTTGTGATCTAATTTAGTTTGTACACCTTAACAGTCTGCAGGGCGACACGTGAACCGTACAAAGGCACATTTATGTTCCTACTTATCAATCAGTCCTTGTCTTCGGTTTGATGCGATAGGAAAATAAACCGACAGCTTCGCGTACCCAATGTGACCACGCGAGCACTAAAGCTGTTTTAAACAATTACAGATTCTAGTAACAAAAAGACTATTTCTAAATGAACCTGCAAACTTCTTTTTCTTCAGAACATATCTATGGCAAGTCTAAGGACTGATATCAAAGTTTCATTGTGTGTGATGTTGCGTATACAAAGATGGTGCTTGTAATTACATGTAGCACACATTACGTGATGCTAGCTTGTTCATATCTAAACAAAATTTAAATAATAAATCGATAACAAAGAAAATGTAAACGTTATGTACCTCAGCCGCAAGCCATGACTGCGAATCTGTAGGACAGATAAAGTAACAGTTCCCAGATCCAGGTGGTATCTCATTGAAACCGGGCGCACATGGCAACCGCTGATTACAATCAACTAAAAGCAAGAAATAAATAGATATAACTAGGTCATGCAAAAACAAAAATTACATTATTTCAACTTTAAAGTTGGTCATATCCTAATAGATGGTAAAATATAACTTTAATAACTTTGTCTTTATTAAATATCAAAATAATGAATTGTTGTGTTACCTATTTATATATGAAACACTTTAAACGAATTTATTAATTGAAAAAAAAACTTTATTATCATACACTAGTCTTATTTGTTTCAAAAGCAGCGAATATAGTGTTTAATTACAACTGCTTTGATCAGCTATTTGTTGGAATAATTTTAGTATTTACAGTTAGCATTTGTCACTTATAAGATACGGACTGAATAAAATTCTATATTTATAAATTGTATCTATAAGAGTAAAACTACACTTCCTTTTACAGAAACAATATTTCGGCCATGTCACGATGAGGGTACTACTTTAGAGTTTATTCAAATTACTCATGTACGTATTAAATTAAGAAATTGAAATATGATATTATTAGGTACGTACATGGCCATTAGAGAGGTAACAATAAGTTAAATATAAAGAAACCAGAAAAGTCATGCTGTGGCTTTTTGTGATGATGGGTTGCTTTCTCAATGAAGTGCATCCAACATTTCCTTTTATTCATATTTAGATGTCGTTAGCAGACAAGTGTCTATGCCACGCTCTGAACTGTCCGAGGTCTTACGTACGGACCTTTATGGACAAATACAGTTCATCACATACACAAATACTTTATCTAGGTCAAGCACTACAACGTAAAATACCTACCATTGCATCGAGGTCCACCAAATCCCTCTGAACAAGAACATTGTGCTATTCCTATGGTGTTGACGCTACAATTTCCATCATTACCACAAGGGTTGTTTGTACAGGCGTCAACTGTTAATTCGAGATACAAATAAGCAAATGTTTTGTAACATTTTATGCCAGGATGTTTAAGTTGCAATATATTATGATTATAAAGGTAATAGAAATAAATTTAAAAATGAAGATAATTAAAAGACCACTTATATTATAGATTTTATTAAAGTTTCTTCTTTACAACTAATCGTTGAATATGTATACATGTATATGAGAGTTTTGATAGGGTTTACAGAATAGAGGATAATTTACCAATACTACAGAGTAATGGGCCAAAAAAAAAGAATAGAGAAAAATAGGCAAACAATAGAAAATAAAGAATAATGCAATGTTAAATTACAAAGAATAGAGATTGTTGGCTTAAAAAAGTTAGAATACACACTTGAGGGACTCCCAATCCAGACCCTCGTATATTCCCTTACTATGTCCTTCATACCATAACAAGTAAAATTTGTTATTGGTTTGGCGATTGAGTTGTTTCTGTAATTGATTTTTATACATTAAGAGGGTTACCCATGTTAGCATCACTAAGTACCCACGTTTGTCTGCTTTAGTTGTAGTAAAGTGCCTTACCTTGGGTTTCACACATTGACCCCATAAAACCCTCCGCACAGCAACACTGAGCAGTCTCATCTGTCGGATTGATAAGACACGTCCCATTGTTTTGACACATAATTTGATCGCATGGATCTGAATATAAAGTGACACGAATAATTATATGATAAACGCCGACTCTAGTCAATTCAAATAATAAGATAATATATTTTGGAAATCATACACGACGAACTTAAACTTGAAGAAGAAGATAACTTAGTATAAAGTATACAAGATTTAACTCATAGCTTTTGATACATGTAGTATGCGGTATGGCTTTTGCTCATTGTTGAAGGCCGTATGATGTACTATAGTTGTGGATTCTATGTCATTTGGTCTTTGGTGGTTAATTGTCTCATTTAGCAATCATACGACATCTTTTTTATTTTTATATCAACTATTTTAACTTGTGTGTACAAACAACCCAATGCAAATATATGACTGTTTCTTTAATCGTGTAGATTTTTTAAGGAATGCTGAATTCCTTTAGTTCCTTTTAAAATATTTAGTAGATATAACTGAGGATGAGTTAAAGTCATTTGAATATATTAACAATTGTTACCAGCTGTCTCCGCTGTAGAACAACACTCTGCTGTACCGGTTGAAGCGTTCACCAAACAAGAACCATTTGTACACATGTTGTTGCATGGATTTTCTATAATAAAAAGCATGTACAAAAATAACATATTGATATTTCATGTAGGTTTAAAAAAAGAATAATTAAAGACAATTAATCTTCGTATAGATTTTCTTTCAGCCGTTTTTTTTTTTTTTTTTGACTGAATGAACGAAAAAAAATATACAAAAAACACGTTTCTATAGTCGAATTATAAAAAAGCGAATCGATTTCAATCTCAGGCTATACGCAAGAACATGGTTGTTTGCCCTTACTCTACCTACCCAGAAAATAGCTGCCTACTCAAAATTTTGTATTGTCTTGATGCGAAACAGTTTTTTTTTTAATCAGATAGGCATGAAGATTAAAAAAAACATTTGACACTTCAATTTCTCTTTGCCGAGAAAATGCCTACCTACATACCCATTGTCTCTACCTTTGGATAGTGAACAGTTAATTTATAATTATGACCATCAAAATGACAATTCCTGTGGATAGTGAACAGTTAATTTATAATTATGACCATCAAAATGACAATTCCTGTCAACACAGAAGTGCCGACTAATGGGCTGGTTTAGGTTGATAAATACTTACCGTTGCAGTGAAATCCATTCCAGTCTCCGCCACATTGACACATAGGTTCATATCATACCTTAGTCTAAATACTTACCAACACAGTGAGTTCAATTCCAGTCTTCGCCACATTGACACATAGGTTCATATCATACCTTAGTCTAAATACTTACCGTCGCAGTGAAATCCATTCCAGTCTCCGCCTCATTGACACATAGGTTCATATCATACCTTAGTCTAAATACATTCCGTTACAGTGAAATCCATCCCAGTCTCCACCAAATTGACACATAGGTCCATATCAGACCTCAATCTAAATACTTACCGTTGCAGCGAGTTTCATTCCAGTCTCCGCCACATTGACACATGGGTTCATATCAGACATTAGTCTAAATACTTACCAACACAGTGAGTTCAATTCCTGTCTCCGCCACATTGACACATAGGTTCATATCAGACCTTAGTCTAAATACTTAACATCACAGTAAGTTCCATTCCAGTCTCCGTCACATTGACACATGGGTTCATATCAGACCTTAGTCTAAATACTTACCAACACAGTGAGTTCAATTCCAGTCTCCGCCACATTGACACATATGTTCATATCAGACCTTAGTCTAAATTATTACCATCACAGTGAGTTCCATTCCAGTCTCCGCCACATTGACACATAGGTTCATATCAGACCTTAGTCTAAATACTTAACGCTGCAGCGAGTTCCATTCTAGTCTCCGCCACATCGACACATAGGTTCATTACATACCTTAGTCTAAATTATTACCATCACAGTGAGTTCCATTCCAGTCTCCGCCACATTGACACATAGGTTCATATCAGACCTTAGTCTAAATACTTAACGCTGCAGCGAGTTCCATTCTAGTCTCCGCCACATTGACACATAGGTTAATATCAGACCTTAGTCTAAATACTTACCGTTGCAGCGAGATCCAATCCAGTCTCCGCCACATTGACACATAGGTTCATATCAGACCTAAGTCTAAATACTTACCATCACAGCGAGTTCCATTCCAGTCTCCGAGACATTGACACATGGGCTCTAGATCTGATCCCAACTTACACATCCCTCCATTAGCACAGTAAAACGAGTCACATGGATCTACAATAGAAATCATACAGGTAACGTTGTCAAAAAATACGGACATCTTATCAAGCTTAAAAAAGGGTGTATAAAATGCGTTAAGAACGGTAAATATTAAAATTTATTTTGATACTTGTTTAACATTGACCTCAATATAAACATATCCAATTGAATCCGTATTTCTCTCTTGTGAAATGTTTGTTGTCGCAGGTCTTCTCGCCCCCCCCCCCCCCCCCCCCCCCTGTAAGGGAAATCCCAATTTTCAGTGCCAAGTACAATCTAAGTTACAAAAAATTAAAGACTCGTAGCAGAACAGTTGGACGAAATATATAGAAGACAACAACAAAAACTATTAGTGTTTTGAAGTAATATTATATTGTAAACCTAATTATACATACCAGGCACACATTTATAACAAACAGTCAATTTCTCGTTTCTGTTGGTACATGTGGTGTCATTGAATAACTGATCATCGCACGTGAAAGTACAACTATTCAGTCCGTCACAAAGGGATTTGACCTTTTGTGATGCATTTGGGTCGCTGCAACGAAAATATCGATAATAACTGTATTTGTAGACTGCCCAATTGATATCGATCAAATAGCCGTCCGGACATTCAAGATCTGCTTCTCCGCCTTCAAAGCAGTATTCTGTGTTCTCTATAATAAAATATAAAGGTTATATTTAATGGCTGAACTGAGCGAGATAACAATTTTATATTCCAGTGAAATTTTATTGTTTCATCACTTAAAGAAACAACGATTTGTGCTACTTACTAACGGTTACATATATAAACAATAATAAATTTGGTCTATATAAATTCTGATCATTATGTAAGTATAGCATTTAAAATAATTTTTAAATGTGTATACAATGAACGTAAAATAATTGCAACAGATGCATTCTATATCTTTAAATTGCAATTTTTCGAAACAAAAATTTATGATTCAGCAATTAACATTTCCGATTTACAGAAATGAGTTTTAGATTTTAATTTTGAATGTATATATAATAATAAAAATTAATAAATAAATTGAATCTGGAATTTCAATGTTATAAATTTTAATTTCGAATATAGTACTTATAAAGTTTGGAATAATTTTGAATTCGGACTCAAGAATCTCGTGGTTTTTTTTTTGTGATTTAGTTTAATAACAAAACTTACGGTATTTATAGGTGTTGTCGTTATCCCATCCATTCCACCATTTATTTTTGTGGCCTTTTAGATAAATTAAAAAAAAATAACACTTGTTTACGATACCACATCTAACTAATTTACTGACTTAAATTATCATACGATATCATGCCGAAATCATAAAAGTATTTTATGAGTACAATGCTGATTTGAAGACATTATCAAGTGGAATATATATCGTTGTTCATCACGTTTATAAATATAAAAAAAAATAAGCGGATAGTCATGAGTCAATCAATGTCAAAGTCGAAGACGAAGACGAAAAAACCTTTTGTTGAAAGAATTAAAAAGACAAACAAAAACAAACAAAAACAACAGAATGAAAAATACTTAACTGTTAAAATACTACAATAAAAACCAAAGTGTGAACAACACATATGTCTTAACAAAATGGGAGTTAACTCGGTTGATATCAGTAAAACCCTTTGTAATCAGCATTCGTATTCCCTTCATTTCACTAGTCGTAGCAAATTTTCTTTTAACACTGTTACTTTGCACCAGACTTACAATTAGAAATTCGAAAATGCAAGCGGAAACAAAAGTTTCTTTTTTACTTGCACCTATTTTTAAATCCATTAATTTCAAAGAGGAACAAAAATATCAAGAATCATTTGTTTCAGTATTTTGATTTGAATATAAGCGTTAACTAAAGCTCTTTCTAATCAGTTCCGTAACCCAGCATTATACTTTAAACTATATTTCTATGTGCATTCAGCGGAGAGGAGAAGTGGTCTATGAGAACTGATTAACAACAATGCTGAGTTCCGAGAGGAACACGTAATTATCGCCCAGTTGTTTAGGGGAACATGTAACTGATCTGACGTATACTAACTCCTCTTTAAGGGCGATAACTGATATATGCTTAGAATTATATAAAAAAAAATTATTTGTTATATCTGAGTCTAGCTGTTAGTGAAGCCAGAAAGAAAAGGCATATGGTGTATCCATTTATTTAATATTGATGACATAGTAAACTATAAAACTTACAATAGACAAGTAAAGAGTTAATGCTGTGGTATTTAAAGAACTTTAAGCACAACGAGATTTTACATATGTTTGAAAATTGTAAAACAGTAAAAAGGCGTTTCTAACAAAATCATACCTTGACTACCAGCTAACATTACCGTGAGGACCAATGCTTGTAATAAACCCATGTTACGTCTATGTGCAGATGAGTTGGCCTGGTTGTTACTGGTCTATTTATATGCAAAAAATCACAAACCAGCATTCCTGAGAGACCAATCAAATACTTTATCATTTGCCATTGACCAATCACTATATAATATTCAAATGCCAAGTCATGTTTTATTTGTATCCTTAGTACCCATAAACATGTAAAGTGCACCAAAGTACGTATTGGACACTTTTTAGTTACTTTTTATGTATTTTTTTTTTCAAATTTAGTTAGGTCTGTTCATATACTCGACAACAAAAATGCAACCATGTAAATATGAATGTCGAGTAAACTCTCATAGGTACTACGTATCACATACTAAGAATTTCATTTTTAAGAGTCGGCTATTAAAGGCCCCGACAAGACAAATATTAAACAATTCAATTTGTCTTTTTTTTTTTTGCCATGATTTTGTCTGTCTTTTATTGACTTGGTTCCCCTCTTGATGTCTTCTCACATTCTTGCTATTGTTAAGAGATGATGAACTGAAAGAATGAAATTAAAAAAATTCTCATTCATGCAATATATGACTGTTTTTTGTATATATATATCGCTTACATACATTTTGCAAGTAAACTCTTTTAAAATACATTGTGAATAATTTGTATATTGATTGATTGATTGCTGTGTGCTTAACGTCCGGTTGGCAAAATTTTTTCTTCTTCATATTCATGACGAATTGAATATTAAAGTTTATATGCTATAGGTTTTTCTAATTGTTGAATGCCGTATAGTTGCCTATAATTGCTTACATCCACTTCATTTGAACTTTGGTGGATAGTTGTCTCATTGGCAATCATACAACACCTCCTTATCTTTATATTAACAGTTCTTGAAGGTTAAGAGACATGAACAAAAACATCGGGTTCTCCCCTTTTTAAATATGAAATGGATAATAAATAAAAATCTGTCAATGGAATTAATAAAAATCATCCGAACTCAACTTGGAAGTCAGTTAAACTAAATATAATACCGTGGTCTAATTCCTCGCATGGTACAGCAGCTATGATGTTGAGTATATATTTGATTTTAAAAAATGTTTCAGATGAATAGTCTTTTTTAGTAAACCACACGATTTTAAATCATGGAGAAAAAAATTTAAAAAGATTAAAAAAAGTAAATAAACAACTTTGAAAAGATTTGAACCCGGACATTTGTACACAGTACCTCGCCTTCGATAGAACATACGCCATTATTGGTAAGATACAATCAGATGTTTACAAAAACGTGCTAAATGTTTTCATTATTTATCATCAGCTGGGCGTTTTATGATGCTGACCGGATAAATTCTAATCATATAAGATCCAGAGTTTGGAAAAAACAAATTATAAAATACCGGATACCAAGGTCATTAATATAAATACTTGATTTGTAGTTGCTTATCATCCTGTGTAAATATTGCTGGTATATTTCAGATAAAAAAGCTATTATTAAATTGAAGGATAGTCTGGATGGAGTTCAAAGAATAGAGAAAATGGATCAAACAAATAAATTATAGAGAATAATGGGAAAAATAAATAAAGCATAAAGAATAATGGACCAAACAAATACAGCAAATAAAGAAAGGGACAAACAAATCAATTGGAGATAATAATAGGCCAAAGAAATATAGCATAGAGAATAATGAACTTAACAAATAAAGCACAGAGAATAATGTACTAAACAAATAAAGCACAGAGAATAATTAACTAAACAAATAAAGCACAGAGAATAATGTACTAAACAAATAAAGCACAGAGAATAATTAACTAAACAAATAAAGCACAGAGAATAATGAACTAAACAAAAAAAGCACAGAGAATAATTAACTAAACAAATAAAGCACAGAGAATAATGAACTAAACAAATAAAGCACAGAGAATAATTAACTAAACAACTTAAGCAGAGATGATTATTGGTAAAACAAATAAAGCAGAGAGAAAAAATAGGTCAAACAATAAAGCACAGAGAATGATCGGCCAAACAAAAAATGTAAACAGAGGGAATGATTGGCCAAACAAATAAAGCAGAGAGAATGATCGACCAAACAAATAAAGCAGAGAGAATGATCGGCCAAACAAATAAAGCAGAGAGAATGATCGGCCAAACAAATAAAGCTGAGAGAATGATCGGCCAAACAAATAAAGCAGAGGGAATGATCGGCCAAACAAATAAAGCAGAGAGAATGATCGGCCAAACAAATAAAGCAGAGAGAATGATCGGCCAAACAAATAAAGCAGAGAGAATTATGGGCCAAACAAATAAAGCAGAGAAAATGACGGGCCAAACAAATAAAGCAGAGAGAATAATGGGTAAAAAAAATAAAGCAGAGAGAGGGAATAATATATGCTTTACCTAACGAGTTTTGAAATGAGAAAACGGGAGAATCGAAATTATTCTACAACGATAAAAGGCATAGAAAATATTTAGCCATGAAGTTATTTTGAATTTTACTGAGAAAAACAAGACATTTGAACAATTCTCATTGTGTATACTATCTATATTCATTTGATATGATGAGACGCAACATTTCCCATTGTTTATTTTTAAATCATTGAAGAATTCAATCTGAATTATTTTTAAAATCTTTACAAATCGAGAGTAGAGAAAAAGTATAAATGGATTTTGAGTATTCAGTGATTATGATGAAACCTTGATCCTGTCATAACAATTATTGAAAAAATAAATCCAATTAACTGGGAGATAAAAAAAAAAATAACCCCCAATTTTATTTGTTTTCGATAAAAAGATATTTGTTTTATATATATTTTCCGTTTTCCCGATTGTGAAGTATATAACAAGACGATAAACTTATCTGATTGACACTACAATAGGTAGAGAAAAGAGGGGAAAAAAATAAAATTTACGTGAAAAAATGTAAATGAGGGGTCTATATTGCGCTTCTGTGTGACAATCTTACTTTAAACACTTTGTGCAATTACAAAAACACAATATCTAAAAGAAAGCATTCTTTCTGTACATTAATATGTTCTTCTTTCTCTTCGACTTGTTTACCTAGATATGATGACAATACTTTGTAGATATCTTATACTCTATTAAAGTACATTTTTTTAACATAACAATATGTACTCCTATCGATTATATCCATAAATAAGTTATTTTCGGTTAAATTTAAATGAAAAAAGTTAAAGTACATCAGTAATAAGAAAAGTTAGTTGTTATTATCCAGAACACTCATTTAACAAAGTTTAAATATGTTTTATACTACATACGAGTGTAGTATAACGAAATCCGAGTTCTATATTTTAATTAGATTGTATCTTTAGAAACGCCTTATGATTTAACTTTTTATTACTTTGACGTCAATGTTTTTAAATACGCAAGAGTTCGATTATAAATCATCCATATAATGAGATTAATTTATCATTCAACGCTCTGTCATAATACATGCATAAAATTATAAGAAAATAAGACGCATGAAATATTGGTTTTCGAACAACTGAACAGAGATAGTCAAATTAAAAAGTCTAAACGAAAATCTTCGAAATTGAATCAAACTGAACCCAGTACTCGCTTCCGCCATTCTTTTCCAATACTAGAAAGGGGTAGGGCAAATTACATAGGTTGGGTCATATTCAGAAGTCCTGGAATCTTACTTTATTTTACCGTATTCTAAAATTGTGTGCACTTAGGTGATTTGGTAACGCCCAGCAGCCGGTTGTACGTTCGTGGCATTAGCCTAATGAGTCATTAAGTCTTCATTAAGCCTTTTTGATGCATTAGGCTAATGAAGACTTAATGACGCATTAGACCAATGACACGTTCGTACAACCGGCTGCTGTAAATTTGTAGATTTAAACTTGAATAAATCGAATGATACAAAACCGTATGACGTGATTTCCGTACGTACGTGTTTCTGCTCAATGACTCATCAGATACCACGTGATCTAGATTTTGAAAGCCAAATTATAATAAGATATATTTCAGAGTATAAGAATCAGAATTGCTATAAACAGAAGTTGCGATAGTTATTTGGTAAATAGTGATTATTGATCTAAAAATGGATAAATGGAAAATACATTTATATAACCCCAACCAAAAATTGAATGTAAAGCTTTGTCCTAGATATTACCTTTGGGATTTGAATAGCTTTATTTTAGTTTCGATCGTGTTTTACATGTAAAGTAAACAGTTGCGAAAACTTATTGAGTTTGCTATTAGTTTATCAAAATTGTCTCCAACAGCAATATGGTGGAATAAATAGATTTGTATTTTGCGGAAATATTTAAAGATATTGAGAAACATATAAAAAACATTCTGTATACTCGAAAATATTCATCATCGTTTGGTATGTTCATCAACATTTAGCCTGTTGTAATTTTTGTCTAGGAGGCAATTTTGAAATTTTCAATAGCACATGACAATTATATACATGCATATAAAATAATTGACATTCTAGAAAGTAATGGATTCCATCTTCAACAGGAGAACCGCAGGAGCATTTAGAATCATTCACCACATTTATCTTATTTAAGTCTGCATTTAATGAACTGCACTGGTGCCTTAGTCTTGTATGCAGTATATTAAATTTTCTAGGCCCTTCGCCATAATATGTTGGAGGTCTATATAGTTCACCCTTTATTTTTCGTTTAAATTCTTGGATAGTTGGTGCGTTTCTTATTGTTGGATTTAAATTATTCCATATTCTGACAGTAGATGGTACGAATGACTTTTCAGTTATTCGTAGTCTGCATCTAGGGGGTATATACTTATCATTATGTCTTAGGTTGTATCCACTGACATCAGATGTAACTGGAGGTAGACAGTCGATTAAATATTGGGGACAAAATTTATTATGCATTTCATAGAAAATTGTTAATTTTCGTTGTCTACGCCTTTCTGCTAGAGTTTCCCAGCCCGTTTCAAAATATAAGGATTCTATACTTCAAAATTTTGTAAGCCCTGTTACTATCCTTGCAGCTTCCAATTGTATTTTTTCTAGTTTATTAGATTCATATTCAAAACACCCATCCCATACTTCGCATCCATATTGCCAAAACGTAAAGTTTACCATGTTCCAAAATTTAAATAGCCAGGCAGGGGTGCGGATTATAGAGTAC